AGCAGCAATATGATATGCTTACATTTGCTCGGCAAGCTGATAGTAACAAATCACAACTAAACTCTGATCAACTTGCTATATTTAATGCAGTTATACAAGCTATAGAAAATAACATTTCTGCTTCTTTCTTTGTGGACGGACCCGGGGGAACTGGCAAAACTTTTTTATATAATGTTCTGCTAGCTAAGGTTCGTGGTGATGGTCATATCGCCCTTGCTGTTGCCTCTTCTGGAATCGCCGCTCTTCTGCTTATAGGTGGTCACACAGCACACTCCTGGTTTAAAATCCCTATTAATTTAAACGAAAACTCCACTTGCTTAATTTCTCATCAAATGAATATTGCTGTTCTCCTTAAGAAAGCTTGACTTATTATCTGGGATGAAGCCCCAATGATGCACCGGTATGCCTTCGAAGCCATTGATCGAACACTTCGAGATCTGATGAAAACAATCGATGCATCTTTAGAATATAAACCCTTTGGAGGAAAGGTCTTTGTATTTGGAGGGGATTTCCGCCAGGTACTACCAGTTGTACCAAAGGCTGGACGTGAAAGCATTGTAAATGCCTGTTTCCAACAGTCCCATCTTTGGAGACATATAAGGGTAATGTTTTTAAAGACAAATATGCGCCTACTTCAAAATGCGAAAGCTCCAGACGCTACTGCTCAACAAGACTTTGCTAATTGGCTATTGCAGCTTGGAGAGGGACGTATTCCGATGGTTAAAAAAGAAGAAAACATGATCAAGCTACCTATAGATATTGTTTTACCATCTCAGGATATTCAAGACCTAATTAACTTTGTATACGCTGACCTTGCCGCTCTACATAATAATTTCGACTATCTGATAAACTGAGGAATTCTAGCACCTAGAAATGATGATGTGGATATTATTAATAATACAATTATGCACACATTCCCAGGAGAGGCAACAACATACCTTAGCGTGGATTCACTTTGTAAAGAAGCTGATAACAGTCAGGTTCATCTTTATCCAATTGAATTTCTAAATTCTGTGAATGTAGGAAACCTGCCTGCTCACAAGCTCTCTCTCAAAGTTGGTACTCCTATCATGTTAATGCGCAACTTAAATG